TGGAGAAGAGAGAGGTGACCCACGATAGAGACATTGGAGAAAAAGGGAGAGACGAGAGTGAAGAGAGAAAGAGAGAGATGGAGAGATATTTAGGGTTTGAAAATGGGATTAGGGATGAATTGCCTGAATTGGGGGATGTTGATTAATTATAATATTATTAGTAATATTAAAATATATAATTATTACCTGATTTAGGATTAATTAAACTCTTTTACCTATTTTTGAAAAGTATTCTTTAAACACCGGTAATTGTGTAATTTTCCCTTAAATATTGCCTATTTCAAAACTAAGAAATAAGGTTTAAAATTTCAAAAATAAAAAAATAATTAAATTTTATTTATGAAATAATTAATTGAAAATATTTTTATTAATTAGATATATTAAGGTCACAATTTCATAGCATTTGATCATAAATAATCAAACTAATTAGTCACAAATTATTTTTTAGTCAAGAATAAAAAATTTTATAAGTCACAAATTATTTTACGGTCACAAATAAAAAGTATTATAGGTCACAATTATTCATTGATCATAAATCAAAAATTTATAGGTCACAACTTATTTATCGATCTTAAATCACATAAATCACGGCTCAAATTTTTAGGTCACATATTATTTATTAATTACAAGTTATCGATCACATTGGTCACAAAATATCAAATTTATTGGTTATAATCTCAAACTATTTGTTACATGTTAATTATTGGTCACAAATTAGCCAATTTTTTTATGACAATCAACCAAATAATTAGTCTCAAACCCTACCCTACCCCATGCCATCCTATCCACAATCACCAAACCACTGCCCTAACCACCTCGTCATCGCCAACATTGCCTTACAATCTGTAACAAACAAAAACAGAAAACAAACCCAAAAAGTCGACACCGCCATCACCACCAACACACCGTATAATCTGAAACCCACAAAAAGAAACAGACCACAAAAAGTCGGCACCACCTCAACGTCACACCGCCACCGCCACCAACACGACCTCACAATCCGAAACTTACAAAAGAAACATAAACAAAAATAAAAAAGCTGGCACCACCTCATCGCCACCACCACTTCACAATCTAAAACAAAAACAAAAACAAGAACAGCGACTGAGCACCACCTAAACACCACAAAAAATGACGACCGAGCACAACCCAAACACCAACGCAGCCAAACATCACAACCACCACCACCCAAACATCACACACACACACACACACACACAAACAATCAGATCCAAAATAACCTATTACTGCTATGACCAGGACCACCACCTCTCCTACACCAACACCACTGCACTGCACCCCCCAAAGCTCCGACAAAGCAAATCGGAGGAAGAGACCAACCAAAAACCCCAAAATCATTACCGCTACCACTAGCAATTCCACTGCAGACCATCGCACCACCACAGGTTCACATCCTTTTGTGTCAAGCACACAGATCCGCAACCACCATGAAGCAGCGGTGCTCATCGTTACTTATAACAGACCCATCACCGCCTTTTTCTTAACAAATCCGTGGTGGTGATGTTTGCTTCGGGGTGACAAGGCCACAGACGCTAGCTACGTCAAAGCGATGTCGCTGCGATGGTTGCGTCTTGAGTGTGCCACGATATCTTCGGAGGTGATAAAAAGAGGAGAGAATGGTGGGGGTATAGAGAGAAAGGAAATAGTAGAGAGAGAAAAATAGAAAAAAATGGATGGTATGTGAATTAATTTAATTTTATAATATACTTAAAGACAAAATTCCTTTCTGGGCTGAGGCTGCACTGGACCCCCACATCCGCCCATGTTCACCTGAATGGTGGTGACACGTATACTTACATAAGACAAACCATAGCATGAAGAACAAGTGATTCTTGTAGCCCCTGTTTGGACTCGATTTTTTCAAAAACTCATTTTCAACTACACATTCTTCCATAAAATAATTTTACATGCAAATCCAAAAATTTTTCTTATTTTTTAACCACACACTCTCCAAAAAATCTCTATTCTGAAACACATTTTAACCCACGAATGGATCTCAAACAAGGGCGTAGTTTCCTCTAGTTAATAAATTTTGTTAATCAACAAAGTTACATGTTTCTACGTTGTTCATTTCTTTTTCATTATTCATTATTCTTTTTCCTTCTCTTAGATAACCACTTCGTAGTAAATTAGAATACAAGAAAAGACCACAAATTTCTCCCCTTGTCACGCTTCTCTTTCTGGCTTTTATATACATCAAAGTTTGTGTTGAATATTTGGGATAAGGATCTGCTCTTAAAATTTAAAAGTCTTAAAAGACACATGTTTATGGTGTGTTAATGCGTAGTGCTTCTTTCCTTAAAAGCATTTACTTTATAGGCACTGAACATGGCATTAATTCGGCATATTGTTAGTAGATGCGTACAAGCAAAAAACTAAAGGGATCCAAATCCGTCGATCAAGGGACTAGATCATGGGTTAAAACTCTTTCTTGTAATTTGACCAAGATGATAAACCAATTAAAACTACCGTTCTGCTGCAAGTACGTCCATTTTGTATAACTAATTTGACATAAATTCAAATCAATGGACAGATGCATGCCACGCATGCAACGTCAAACTAGTTGTACAAAATGAATGTACATGTTAGAATTCACGTATAACTCGAATTTTATTCGAAATTTAATTGAGAGTTCTATTTGGAGTTGGTTGTATGACTTGAAGGAATTTTGAAGGAGTCCAAAACGAATAATAGGAATAATGGTAACGAGGCGGGCATGGGATTGGTCTGCCATTTCCACTCCCATCCCTCGAGTATTTTTATCACATTACCTCATCCTCCTGCCCATACCCGGTTAAAGTGAGAAGAAGTTGGTCACCTGCCCCATTTATCGTCATTTTTTTTATTTTTTATATCTTTTGTTAATAAATATTATTAATTTGTTAAAAACAACTTATGTTCTCTTTAAAAATAATGATAAATATTTTATTTTTGTTTGATAAAAAACTTAAATTTAAAATTAACTTCAAACGGAGTGGATACTATATTTTTCGTACTCGTCCCGTACTCGTTTCGGAGCAATGACCCCTTCCCGTTTACCCCGTTTGGGGCAGGGCCTCACCGGTATTGAGTTGAACGAGTTTTTTTTGTCATCCTTAACGAATAAGAAGGATTCTCGATTTTTGCAGTTTTCTCTCTTTTCAACTCAAATCCTCCTTATTGATTTTACCTGTTGTAATATGACTTCACATTGTGTTAGATTTTCGTTTGTATTAATTCTCATAATATTTTAGAGATTCTTGTATTATAAATATGTGATATATTACACATATTTATTTGATGGACTCAAAAAATGATTTAGGATATCAAGGGAGAGACTCGCATAATAGACAGAGCAGTTGAGACTCTTGTTGGATCTAGATTCACATAAAATACTCATTACTATTGAGGGTGTGTTTGTCATCCTTTAAAAATTAAATTGTTTGCTACAGTATCATGTCTCCACCACACATTCACACAATAAAATATTCTACATACAAACTAATAAAGTTTCTTTAAATTTAACCACACATTCCCCAAAAAATACTACATTCCACTCCTATTGAAACTTATCCATAACTATAGTCCTGTTTGTCATCCTTTAAAAAATTAAATTGTTTGCTACAATATCATTTCTCCACCACACATTCACACAATAAAATATTTTACACACAAACTAATAAAGTTTCTTTAAATTTTAACCACACATTCCCCAAAAATACTATTCAAAACTCTATTCTTTCTCCCATAATGGGAGACAAACATGGGCTGATTATAGTGAATTCTCAGGCTCCGTCCGTGTTTTTTTCCAGATTTGGATTTCCACGTTAAATCTTGGGTTCTTGTGACTGTTATTTTCATCTTATCATTTTTTTTTTTTTACCTTAATATTCATAACAATTGATAGGTTATTGCAAATTGACTTGTTTTACAACAGTAAATGCATTTTAATTCTTAAAACTATGGTCTGCAAGCAGTATTAGATACAAGAATATGGTTGAACTTGAATAGAGACTAACATCTTATACATAATTGTGGTAATTAGGTCTGATCGACCATTAAGAAAAACACAAAGGTCTCTATATAGTCATAACATCATGTATGAAGACTAATGCTTATTTATAATAATAATAATCTTAATATGGTATAATATACTTTACCGACAATAAAATATCAAAATAAATTATCTATTCTCAAGATTATAATTTCCATCACAAAAGTTACTTTTGGTATTTACATTGAACAACAGCTAATAAAGATCTAAAATCCCCCAGTCTGTTTCGTTTTAATTCGTCACCGCCCTACAAAGTTATTTCAAAGAATAACATGGTGAGAATCTTCTATATGACAACAATCGACTATACCAGAGTTAATTGTACTGTCTTCTTTTAATTGTGCTTAGTTTTAACCCTGAATTTCATGAGATTTAATTTTCGTTTTGAAACTAATTTCTAAAATAACTTCATATTTTAAAAGTATTTTTTTAGAAGAAGTCATATTGAACAAGCTTTCTCTAAAAAGAAAAAATCAAATCAAATTAGAAAAAATATTTTTTTTAAAATTAATCAAACGGGTTCAAAAGCAGCTTTCGAATCTCAAAAACTTATTTTGACTTCACAAGAGTTATGCCAAACGAGCTCATAGTCTATTCTGAATTCTTATTTTGATTTTATACAATAATCTAGACGGTCGAGACTTGATATTAAACTTGCATTTAGCTTGTTGCCGTAGGATTCTTGCTCTCGCCATATTTCATACATAATAGGAAACAACAATGCATAGAACAATAAATTTCTTAATTATCAGTTCAACGTACCGATTAGGTTCCTTTGTGGAAATGGATAATATTGGCCTAAGTCAAGACTTTTACTTTCCAAGCAACCCCAGAAATAATCAAAATACACACGTGACATGTACCAACCCGTGTTTCTAGCCAAGCTATTTATACCCTCTTGAGATGACAAGAATAACACACCAAAATATTAAACACCTAAGGAAAAATGAGTCCCTTCTTCTCTTTCATTCTTCCAGCCCTCTTCCTCTCCTTCCTGATCTCGACCCACCTCGCGAATGGCCAGAACTTGATCAACGAAACGTGCGAAACAGTCGCACGTCGTGATCCAAACGTCGGGTACAACTTCTGCACAACTTCCCTACAGGCAGCGCCAGCGACCCAGTGTGCAAGTTTACGAGGGCTCGGGATGATCTCGATCAGACTCGTACGCCACAACGTTACAGATACGCGTTGTTACATCAAACACTTGCTGAAAAACAGGACACGGGATCCTCTTTCAGAACAATATTTGAAGGATTGCTTTGAACTTTTTTCTGATGCAATCTCTTCCGTGAAGCAGGCCATGAAATATTACAAGTCGAAACGATATGACGATGCTAATATACAAATAAGTTCTGTAATGGATGCTGCTACAACTTGTGAAGATGGATTTAATGAGAGAGAAGGGTTAGTTTCTCCATTGACAAAGAGAAATCGTAATACGTTTCAACTCTCTGCTGTGGTACTCTCTATTATGCATGAGATTCAGAAATGATCAGACGTCTGATTTTTAATCAGCATGTTTATGATTGATTACATTTTCATGATCATTTAATTTTCTTGTTTACTTGGGATTTCTTTGTTTTTATATTAAATAATATGATATACAAATAAGATGTTTTTAACCTTTCTTGGAAAGGAATTTCAATGGAAGAGTGACTTCCTACTTAATATTTTGTCTTAAACTTCGTTGTTAAACTAAATAAAGACCTTCTATAGTTGCACCATGTGTAATTTACCCAAACCCATTACATTTTCACTTTAATGGTTTAACTCAGTTAAAAATGAATTTGATCATATATAAATTGATTTATAAAATTTGTCAAAATAGAATGCAAGTGATTTACGAGCATTTTTTTGTGCACTCGGTTATTCTCCAAACTGCTCTTGTTCCTTTCTTTACCTGGAATGATGCGACTTAAAAGTCAAAACACTTAAATACGTTGTCTTAAAGTTGTTAGTTGTCAAGTTGAAATCTACTGTTCAATTTCTTGTCGATCTAATTGATTATTGACACGTCATTTTAAATTAATATACTTAACTTTTCTCTAACTACTCTTTATACTTGAAAAAATGTGACATTTTAATGTAAAATGATTTGTAAATAATTAATTGGTAAACATCAAATTGGACAGTAAAAATTGGACAACAGATCTTAACTCATAGTTGCCAGAGCCCTTCGACTAGGTGTGTGCTCCCACTTTCTTCAGGACCGGCCGGGCCATAACTTTTTTTCAGTTCTTGTTTTCATATTGGTTTTCCAAATACACGTAACTGTCATTACAGTAAATTACTTGCTTCCAAGCGACTTCTGTATCAAAACACGAATAGGATATAATTGTGATTATGAATTACAAACATTTTGGCAAATAAAAAACACTTTGGGAGTACTTGAATTGGACTTCTCGAATTTTCATCAGGTGGCATGTCCCTTTTAACATGTAGAAAAGGACCGATTTAGGTTTTCACTATTACTTGTTCAACCCTTGCAATTTAGTCATGTAAAGCTATAAAGAAGTCACAGTTGCAACGAGAGCGATCTTTAAAAGTATCGAGTAGATAAGATTATCAGCATATACTCCAATCATAAGTGATCAAATATGAAACGGGTCGGGTTAAATTCAATCGTGCTGCTGTCATCTTTGAAATGATGCAATTTATCAACAAGTTAGCGAACCACAAGAAATTAGACATATATACTCCCAGAATATACTGGATCTTTACAAGAATGCCATTGACTGACAATTTCAAAGGTACTATGGAGATGCATAAGCTAGCCATAGATATGAATAGCATTATAATCGAATGAAGGAACCACTCGTGCAATAATCTCTCCTTGGAGACAAGTATCTTCCAGTAAATTCACTTAGTCGGCTTGTGAATGACTAATAGTAGGTTTTTTAGTCATGACGTTCATTGTGAACCAAGTAGCGGTTTCTGAAATTTGTCCATATCATTTATGTACGGGAAGCATGGGAAGAAAAACTCGTAAAGATCTGAAAACGTGAAAACCAAAGGGAAGCATGGATAACTTTAATCAAACTGCGAAAGAACAGTTCTGCCCTACAGGTTTAATTTGAAATCCTGGACGACAAGCTACAAGAGTATTTGATTAACTGTTATTTCCGACAATCTAACTCGATAAATTTCCATAGATTAGTGTAAGTTTCTCCTAATGAAGGTTATCTGCATAACGAACAGAAAAACAACAAATGAAAATTACAGAGTAAAGACCAAATAACAAGATTTTTAAACCCACTGTGGAACTACTTTTTTATCCAGCAGGGCCAATTTATTTCCCGACCCAGGTTCAAATTTCTACAACATCCCAAAAAGGCAAACACGAACAGAATGCAATGTCTAGTTGTCTCGAAGAAATGATAGCATAGAGCAAAAAATTCCACATAACTCAGCTAGACATTGGATGGTTATAGACATACTCAATTGCAAGAGTGCAGGAGTCGATTTTATCAGCTTCCTTGTCAGGAATCTCCAGCTTAAACTCTTCCTCAATGGCCATCACAATCTCCACATTGTCCAAGCTATCTAAACCCAGATCCTTCTGAAAATGAACATCAGGTGTCACCTGCACAAGAAAACCATCAATTTTGATCTTAAATGCCTGCTAAGTAACAAAGACAGTCTGACATATCAATTATGTCATCAATATCCAACCTGAGATTTGCAGAATAAAATCTATTCTTACTACACATGGGATCGTATAGAATGACAACTATATGTGGTTAAATTTCACAGAAAGATGGTTACTGCAATAGTATTGACCAGCATCAATTATTCTGTGCTAGGAATTTCAGAGGTTATAGTAGAAAAATGTTTCTTAGATCATATATTCATTCAATTATAATTATAAGCTTCTGTGAAATGAATGTTCTATTGAATATTGCGCTTACCTTTTGTATATACACCAACAAGAACCAAATCAGATTTTATGTTGTATTTATTATTTCTGGGGGTACATTCCTTTATTGACTAAGATACACTGCACAATGCAGAATAATTCTCACAATCCCTATTCCATATAGTAATGATATAAACAGTTATACCAGTAGCAACAAGCAACAGAATGCAAGAATGCTCACAAACAATATATTTCAGAAGTCATGAACTAAGAAGCACGGATACGGATACATCGATATGATTTTTTTTATTTGAAAAAATTATGATACGCCGATACGTTTTATAAAATTCAATATAATTTCATTTTAATATAAAAAATATTAATACAGAAGCATAATAATAAAAATAAAATAAAATACTAAAGCATGTTATTAGCACGATTTTACATATATTAAATCATTATCTATTTTCATTACTAAAATTAATGTAACATAATTTTACATGTATTATTTAAAATTAGTAACAATCTATTTCCAATAATAAAATTATATTTGTTAACTATAACACAGTTTCACATGTACTGAAACATTAATAATATAGTGCATTTCTAATAAAAAGTTTAGTTGTTAATTTTAAAACTCTAATTATTTATTGTAAATAAATATTATTAATATTTAAAAAGTTATAAAAATAATTTAAAAATAAAAATACATATTGGATACATATCGAAAATTTAAAAAATATAAAATACATAAAATAATTAAAAAAAAAGTATCCGGTACGTATCGGAGCTTGGATACTATAGGATACAGTACGTAACGAGTTTACAAGTAATGGTGCTTCTTAGGTCATGAATGCTAGTGCATCTATAATTTATTGTAGATCAAGAAATGGCATCCTGCAAAGAGCCATAAAAGCAGCAATATGGCAGTCACAGAAGCGAGAAAGACGGGTAGCTAGGTACGCATAATAGGAAAATAGAACTATATAGAGCCATAACCATTTGTCAACTTCCACCCATGAGATTGGAGATTTTATCTTTAATATACTAAAGTCCACACATAACAAGAACGTATTTATGAGCTCACTATAGGCCAATTTATGCACTTATGCTTATAGGTTCACCTTTTCAACTATCACCTAAACATTTGTGTTAAGTCGAACCAATTTCTTAACGGAGGGAATGATATCTTTCTAATAAGTCTATGTTAATGATATTTAAACCATATGCAAGGTGTATTTAAACTATATACAACAGAAGAATGTTGCTAATATCGGATCATAATGTCACTACGAAATAAAACTCCACCAAACCAAAGAGTTACAATGGGGAATAATAAGAACTACTAGTAAGATGAGCATGGACTTCCAGACATGACCTGTTAAAACTGATATAATGTCAGTGGTTAATATTAGTCTTTATGATCATCAGTTAAAAACAGGTGAACATTTCTGAAACATTTTTTTAACGTCTTCTCATTGAAACCTGGTTCAACCCTTATTATTCATTCAACCCTGTTAAGTGACTGGCCCAACCAGATAACCTGTAATAATTAGGGCCCAAACCTGCAAACCATGCATGAAAAGGCCTATTATGTATCAAAGAATACATCTCAGTAATTTATAAGAAAGACAACAAGAATAAAACCCTGATTCTTTAGTTGGTGTGGGAAGTTGACCAACTGGGCAAGTTTAATGGACATTTTTGCGAGACATTGGGTACTGGCAAATGGTTTGAGTATAGGTTTGAGCGAAATGATACCTCTAGATACCAGTGTCTCAATCTCCGAACTGATTACCACCTCACTGAAGACTTTCATTTCAGCAGCAAGTGTAAACACGGACAATATATAGAAATGTTTATTGTGTGTAGCTACAAGATTATTTCCAACAATTAAATTGTAAAGAAACTAGAAATATATCTGAAGTATACGCACAGAAACATACCAAAAGAAATGTTTACAAGAAGCAAACACAAAATAGTGACCAGAATTAGATTGTCTAAATCATCAAGCAAGCTGATCATCTGAATGCTTAAACCGAGCATATCATAGATTTTTCACCCAAAAATGATATATCTTTACCAAATCAAAGGTTTTCTTTTATCGTCCAAAATATGAATATAATATGCATAAAAGCATTACAGTGAGTGGTCTCCGAACCTCCCTAAAATGATATATGAATGCATGCATGCTCTGGAAAGAGGTCGGAATTTGTAATCATGTAGATCATATAATGCTGAATTCACTAGATATCCAACCTATCAAATGAGCTACTTAATAGAAGTATGTGATCCTCAGTGAATTACACCTGGAACTTTTTATCCAATATAGAAATGTTGAAATCTGAAACCCTTAGCCTAAAATCATGAATTAGGTAATCAATTTAGAAGCTTCCAATTGAATTTACAAGTCAGCAATTTTTCTCCTAATCAAGCAAATCCTACAGTTAAAAATGATATCCTGAGTTCGTTTCAATTTTCTTGTCATTCGTCTTGAAAAAAATGCTTGACAACCAGTAAACTTGTTCTCGAAAATGACCAACTCAAACACTAGGGGAAAAAGAGCCAAAAAATAAAAAACACTTGCATTTCGTTATCACAGAAGCACATAATGAAAACCATCGCTGTGCAAAATGGCTAATTAGAATTTCCATTGTAATCACTAAGGATGCTATATAATATTTCTAAATTTACACCGTACTTACAGTCAACTAATAAATTTTTTCTTCATCGTCTATGTTTGGGAGAGATTTTTCAGAAATCATTTTTCCCCATATTCATTTTCACCCACGCGTTCCCCAAATTTCTTTTCTTCAGTGGATCCACAATTTTCTGACTTTTTAACCACACATTCCCCTGAAAAATCATTTGTCACCTGAAAAAATCTCTCCCAAACCAACGTCATATATTAAAAACCCTCAAATAAAACTTACACCGAAATATCATAGCATCATACCCTAACAGCAATCAAGAATACTTCTAAAGAATTTCGGAATTCGTGATGCAAGAACTAAAAATCGCGCTAATTAAGACAAATCGCAGAGTTGACCTTTGCGGGATCGACTTTGGGGAAGCTCTTGACGATGTCGAGGACTCGGTTGATGACTTCTTCCTTGTCGAGGTGATCGTCGCCGTGAGATGACATTGATCGTACGGCCGTCATCTTGGATCCATTTAGGATTAGGGTCCGGGAGACCGGGACCCGGATGTGACGCAGTATGCTGGACCTCAATGCCGATGCCATTACCCTTTGTTCTCTGTGTGAAATGCTGAATCCTCTCTCTTCGTAGTTGGTTAAACTATGAATCGGGAATGAGGTTTTAGGGTATCTAAATACGATATATACCCCCAATATGACAACGAAGTAAAATAGAGTTTCGAATACTTATTTTTAGAAGAACGAGGAGTCGAATAAGTAATAAAAATAAAAAAGTTTATAAGTCGTAGAATATTTTATTTTGGAATTTTGAATACTAATAGTGATTTTTAGAAGAATGTATAGTTAAAAAGTATGAAAAAAATTTAAATTTACGTGTAAAATAATTTATTGTGTAAATATACGATTGAAAATGAATACCTAAAAATCAAAATTTGAAAATAGTGATTATGAAATAGAGGCATAAAGGGTGGCCTATTTCTATCAACTTAACAAAGGGAACATCCTTGAATATTTTTTGATAGTTATTGTCCTACTAGTTGTCATCGTTAAGATAAGGTAATCTATCAAAATGTTAAAATACATTTTCATTTATTTAGTCAATTCTCTCTTCTTTTCTCTTATAGTTTCGATTCAGAACCAAAGTCTCGAGTAAGAACTAACATAAAAATGGTCAAGTCTATGTCTAACATAATTAACCACCAAACATTGGAGGGCTTTAGTACAAGGACAAGAGAACGTCATGCAAAGCAAAAGGTAATGGAGTCCATTCTAAACAGTATAATGAATCACCGGAGCTCGAACAAAATTAGCTATATAAAATCAGTCGTCATAGTATGAAAATAGTTTAATTTCATACAATACTATAAAAATCTCGTGCAATATATAGATTTTTACTTCACTATTTATTTATAACAATGCAAAATCTATATAACAATGCAAATTAGCTAGCATATAGATTTTTACTTCACTATTTATTTATAGCAACGAGGATGAGTAAACTAAATTTAACTTTAGGGTAATCTACAAGCATGGGTGGACCCTGGGTGTCCTGGGGGACAGGTGCCTCCCAACTTTTGAGATTCTTTTTTTTTTTTAATACAATCACGTTTGGTGTCGATTGAAATTTAAATTTTAATCTAAATCAAAGTTAACAATTAATTTTAATAACATATTTTCATGAAATTCATAACTATTTAATTTGTACCCAAATTTACTAAAAATTTGATTTTAATCTCCACCAAACAGGAGTAAAATAAAAATAAATTTGAATTT